CTTGGAGCACTTGGAGTGCAGTCATTAACCTCACATCCAGGGCCGGGGAGCTAAGAAGCGCACCCACAGCGGGCCGGATGATCGGCATCGGGTTACGGGCTAGAGAGCCCTAGCCCTGGGGGGGGTGCGCATACCGCGTTGGTGTCCAGTCCGAGCCTGGCTGTTCTTCACCTTTCTACCTACCTACCTACCGCGTTCGCAGGGAAAGGGCCGTAAACGGTAAACACAGGTCTCCGAGGGTTGGTTCTGCGCTTTCACGGCGTGTCGATTCACGGCGTGCTTTCACGGCTCTGAAACTGAGGCTCTGTTGCTGCTCTTCTCGTCGCGGGGAACGCGCCATCGGCATCGCCCTTTTAGCTTTTTTTCTTTCTGAGCTTGGAAACTTGACCGCCGGCGCTCCGCCTCCTGACGGTCACATCTAACACCAGGAGTAAGGAGGATTACAAGAAAACGGACGCCGCCCAAGAAGGCAAGTCTTCACCGCTGCCAGGTGGAGCTCACCTCACATGCGTCATGGGGGCGCGCTCACGCGGAGGCAGGTTGGCTCCGCGAGAAGCGCATCACAAAGAGGCGCTCGTTCTGCGCGCGCCGCTCAGCGATCAGCTCGGCGCGCATGCCGTGCTGCGCCTCCACCTGCGCCGCTAGCTCGTCGGGTCTGTTCTCGCGCACGCCGAGCAAGTAGAAGACCTGAGGTGTGAGGCCAGGTGAGGGGAACGTCTCCACACACACACGAGGTGGTGGTAGCGCACCTTTCTCTCGCAGCCGGCCGAGGTCAGGCAGCATGTGATCTCCTCGTCTCTAGTTCGCATCGGACTGTAGACGCACCCCTCTCGCAGAGAGCAGCCGGCCGAGGTCAGGCAGCAGCCGGTCCACGACCACGCGACCGTCGGGCCCGCCCGCCCAGGCGGCGGAGATGTCGCGCTCGGCCTGCCCACCCGCCGCCTCCTCCTCCGAGGTGGGCACGTACGGAGGGTTGAAGAGCAGCACGTCGACCGTCCCAGGCCGCACTGCGCCGAGCAGGTCGGCGCGCACCACCTCGAGCGGCACGCTGTTGGCGGCGGCGGTGGCGGCGGTCGCCGCGTTGGCGGACGCGTTGAGGTCGGTGGCCACGAGGGCGGCGGACGCGGCCGGCACTCCGCCGCGCGCCAGGATCTGGGCCAGCCCGGTGATGACGCAGCCGGAGCCCGAGCCGAGCTCGAGCACGACGCCGGGCAGCGCAGCGCGCAGCACGGCGAGGTCGGCGGCGAGGGCGTCGAGGAGGAGGTACGTGTCGTCGGACGGCTCGTACACACTGGCCCAGTCGGAGCCCCGCAGGTGCGCCAGCGACGGCAGCGGGCAGCGCGAGTCGGCCCGCGGGGGCGGCGGCGGCGGAAGTTTCGCCATCGTTATCTCTGGGACCGGAATCCGAGCATGGAGCGAGCTCGCGCTGCGCTAGGCCACAGATGGCGAGTGCGCTGCGATAGAAAGAGGCCAGCGCCAGGTCGCAGGTGTGCCGCCGGACGGGAGGGAGGGCGAGCGAGAGGCTTGTGTAGTACACGGGCGGAAACGAACGGGGGCCTCGAAAGCGTCGTTCGTCCAGTAGAGGTGAACCTTCTTCTAGACCGGAAGGATTGAGAGCGAGGCTGCTCTCAATCCTTCCGGTCTAGAAAAGAAGGTTCACCAGGAGTAGAGTCTAGGGCGGGAGGTGTCGAGACCTGAGACAGCGGTGTGTGTGCGGCGCCACACCGCACACGGCTCAGCACGGACACACACACAGAAGCGGACGGACCACGCAGCAGTGTTTACCGGGCCCTCCGTCTTCCTTCGAGCCCTCCCACTTCCACCCCTCCGTCCGACCGAAGGGCTCGCCAGCCCACAGACAGACAGGGCTGGAGGGGTCCCAGTCGGATCGGCGTCGGGAGGGCTCCACAGGGCTAACCCCCTCCCCGGACGCCGGGTGGGCTCGGAGGGACGCTGAGCCCTGGTCTGACAGCCTGACAGCGAACCCCGGACAGCGCCTGACAGTGCCCGACAGCCTGACTGACAGCGCTGACAGCACTTTCTCCGACAGTCTGACAGCACGTATCTGACAGCCTGACAGCAGAGTCTGACAGTCGAGGTGCTCCGTCGCTGTCAGGCCCTAACGTGACAGCCTGACAGCTGCCCCGCGACAGCCCGACAGCACACAGTGGCCTGACAGCAGCGCTGACAGCCCGACAGCAGCACAGACCGTACACAGTCAGACCCCGTAGAGCCTCTTTCTTGTGCCCCATGAGGGTATAACAAAACTATTACATGCAAAGACATGTGAGTGTGGTCCATGTAGTCATGGGATGGTCATGGGTCTCTCTCTCAACCCTTCCGTCCCACACCTCTGCGCGTCTGCGGGGACCCCTCTCTAGCACCGGCGGCTGTGCTACTACAAATGAAGCTACCAGCTAGCCTTCTGGGGCCCTACAGTCATATGCCTACGGCGTCTGGGTGGGGGTGGCCGCCGCCGTCTGTGCCGCCGCCGCCGCCTGCGCCTGCGCCGCCATATGCGCTCCCCAGGCGGCCGCCGCCGCCGGCGTGATCACGCCGTGTAGGAGGAGAGGCTGAGAGTATGTGTAGTAGAGTCCTGCTGGTCTCCTCTTGATAGTGTCATAAGTGTGGCTGGTGTGTGTCAGAGCCTGACAGCACCCCGACAGCACCACCTGACAGCACCTGACAGCAACAGCCCAACGTCTGACAGCAGCAGCAGCCTGACAGCTCTGACAGCTCCGACAGCGTCTGACAGCAACACCCGACAGCTCCGACAGCACCCGACAGCTACAGAGCACCTCGACTGTCAGGCACGCACCCGACAGCACCCGACAGCACTGACAGCACCTGACAGCTGGTCTGACAGAGGCACCTGACAATGCCTGACAGCTGCCCGACAGCCCGACAGATCACCTGACAGCACCTGACAGCCTGACAGCCAGGGCTCAGGAGGGACGGTCGGACAAGGGAGGATCTTCGTGACGGGAGGCCTCGAGAGGGGTCGGAAGGGCCCTCCGGGAGGGGTCGCAAAAAGATAAAAAACCCTTTCGCGGCTTATGTGACTGCCCCCCAAGAGGGCTCGGAGGGCTCGGAGCACGGAGGGCTCGGAGGGCTCGGAGGGCTGGAGGGCTGGAGGGCTCCATTAGGGCTCGGGGAGGGGTCGATCCTTGAGCCCTCCGAGTCCTCCGAGCCCTCCGAGCCCTCCGAGACCCCCGAGCCCGGCTCGGCGGCTCGCCCCTCCGAGCCCTCCGGGCACTCCATCCCTTGTGAGCCCTCCCGAGCCCCCCCTCCCGAGCCCACCAGCGCCACCCTCGTGCCTCTCTGCCCTCCGCGCGAGGCAGCTGGAGGGCTCTTTAGGTCTCACGGTCCACACTCCCGCCTAGAGCTGTCAAACGTTAAGAGCCGAACAGTGTTGCTAGTGTTAACAGTAACAACAGAACAAAACAGTTGGGCTCCCCAACAACAGTAGCTAACGTTAGGCCAGCTGAACAACAGTAAGGAAGGCCTGGCAGTGACCCACGACGATCTTCAGCGTCCAGTGCGGGTAATACCCGAAAATACCTGGAAACCCTCGGGTATTTTCGGGTTTTTACCCGGGTTTTTTTGGCATTTTCTGCTCTTGCTGACCACTGTGCACTGAACAACAGTAACATCTAACAACAGTACTCGAGTAACAAACAGAAACAGCATGGGCTGAGGTGAACACTTGAACAACGTTGAGGATTTCAGCCAACAATAGTGCAACTGTTGGCCCACATTTAACGTTTGACAGCCACTGTTGTTCAAGTGTTCATCCCAGCCCATGCTGTTACTGTTTGTTACTGTTGTTACTGTTGTTCAGCGGCCAGCAAGCAGAAAACGGCAAAAAACCCGGGTAAAACCCGAGAATACCCGGGATTTTCCAGGTATTTTCGGGTATTACCCGCACTGGACGCTGGAGATCGCCGTGGGTCACTGCCAGGCCTTCCTTATTGTTGTTCAGCCGGCCTAACGTTAGCTACTGTTGTTGGGGAGCCCAACTGTTGTTCTGTTGTTACTGTTAACACTAGCAACACTGTTCAGCTCTTAACGTTTGACAGCTCTAAGCTCTACTCCCGCCCTCCGCAGGCCCTCCCGACCCCTCCCACACCCCGCCCTACTCTACAGCGGCACCCCTACCCCTCCCGCCGTTTTAGGGCCTACCCACCCGCACACTCCGGAGCTCTGTGAGGGACCTCGCGGTCCTCGCCGAGGGTCGCGGTCCGCACCAGCCGCGGCGACGGAGCGTCGGACCTCGGAAGTCGGTCACTGCCAGGGGCCTTCCTTACTGTTGTTCAGTCGGCCTAACGTTAGCCACTGTTGTTGGGGGGCCCCACTGTTGTTCTGTTGTTACTGTTAACACTAGCAACACTGTTCAGCTCTTAACGTTAGGCAACCCTATGGGGAGTTCGAGAGATCGAGTGCGGAGGCGCGAACACGGCGCACACCAGAGGGCAGAGGCCCCGCGCGTGCGCGGTGTATCGAGCGGCGAGGTTTTTATATCAGCCTCTGCGCGTCGAGCGACGAGCCAATCCAAAAACCCGCATATGCGCCAGGTACGGTATGCGCTCCGCGTCCTCACTCGTCCAGCGCTGCGCCGGTCGTCGCCTCCGCTAAGAAGGCCGCGCTGAGCTGGTCGGCCCACCGGGCGGCCGTCAGGCCTCGGGCGAAGCAGCAGTGGCCTCCCTTGCCGTAGCGGAGCAGCACGGCCCTCGGGCAAGAGCGACCGCCTAGCAGCGCCGGCGCGTTGTCGTCGACGTTGCGGGGTTTGCAGACCGGGTCGTCGTCAGCGTTCAAGATCAGGATCGGCACCTGGCGGCGTGGACGAGTCGCAAAGATTGGGAGGTCAGTGTTGGACACAACCCCACCACCCCACCCACCGCGGCCGTGCTGCGGTGTGCCACGCCCCGCATCACCTCTGACTTATGAACTCTCAATCACGCGCCGCGCTGCAGTGTGCCACACCCCTCGCCAATACTGAATTATGACTCACGCGCCGTGATGCGGTGCGCGACGCCCATCGGGTTGCAGCGGCTCAGGTAGGCTGCAAACGCCTATGGGAAGATCTGAGGAGATCTGGGGGAGATCTGGGGGAGATCTTGCCCAGGTAGGCTGCAATCGCGTTGGCGACGGTGCTGGCGTCTGCCTCGAGGACGCCGCTGCTCGCGTCGGAGGGCCGGGCGGCGGCACGAGAGGAGCCGGGGCTCCACGTCTGCGCCCTCGGCCGCGCCTCTGTTCTCGCGGCCGCCGGAGGCACGCTGCCAATCCCGCGTCCGATGACGGAGGCGGGCGAGCCCAGCCCCTCCTTTGGCGGCGCCTCTGGCGCGGCTGCGAACGGCGAGGCGGCAACCATGAAGCTGTGCATGTCCCTGCTCTCCTCCATGCGGCGGCACACCTCCGGGGCGGCGCGGCGCAGCACGGCGCCGTTCTGACCGCGCAGCCAGTGCCGCTTGAGGACGCCGATGTAGAAGGCCGAATCGTACAGCGCGCCGCAGCGGGAGAGGCAGACAGAGATGTCGTAGCCAGGGCAGTTGGCAAAGGCGGCGGCGACCGGCGTGGCCGCGCCCTCCTCTCCGAGGTACCGCACCATGAGCGCTGTGCCGGCTGAGATGCTGTGCAGCAGGAGCCTCGCGCCCGGCCGCTGCGTGAGGATGCGCATCAGCGCCTCGCGCAGGTCCTCGGTCGACCCAAACAGGCTGAAGCGCGGCGAGGTGAGCGGCCTGCCGCAGCCCCTAGCGTGCAGCACCACCGGCCGCAGGCCCTGCGAGATCATGGCGCGCAGCGTGTGCGCCGTGCCCGCAATGCTCCCGCAGAGCCCCGGCAGGATGAGGACGATGGGCGCGTCGGCTGCGACGGAGGCCGGCACGTCAGGCCACGCGAGCGCGAGCGTGCCGCCGTCTGCGGTGCGCCACACATCTTCGCGGTGCGCGATCTGAGGCGAGAAGATGTTGAGGCCGTACCAGATCGTCTGCAGGTGCCCACTGAAGAGACCGCCGAGCCACGGCGTCGGCCAGAAGGACGCATCGCCAGCGACCTTGCGCACAGCTTCCGCGACCTCCTCGGCGTCGCTGCCGATCGTCCAGGCGGGGACGGACCGCTGGAGCCGCGACGCGACATCGGCCGCCACCACGAGCGCCGCCGCTGCCTTGCCCGCAGCCGGGAGCACGGCGATCATCGCTCTCGTTACAGCAACCAAGGCCGGCAGCTCGCCCAGCGCCGCGCCCGCCAGCGCTCCTCGTCGCAAAGAATTTTCGGATCGCACGAACATTCACCCTTGGGGACCCGCCCCAGCACACAGCTGGGACTCCCAGCGGATCTCACCTAAAGTAGCCCCTCTTCGGTGCCTTGTGTCCCGCGGCCCACACGCCTCCCGACCGCTTGCGGCACCGTCGCCGCCGCACTTTTCTGATCAACTACCTCACCCTCCCTTGCGCAGGCCGGTCGGAGGCCGTCTGAGACCTCTGTGCGGACCGCGCGCAGCCCTGAGACCTCTGCGCGCTGTCGAGAGCAGCTTGGCAGGCATGGCCGACGAGACAGCGGCTGATCAGGCGCGCCTCACCCGCTCACAACCCACCACCAGACCCAGCCCGACCTGCACGCCAGCGGAGAGGCGGCTCGGCGCCATGCAGCGCCGGGCAGAGCAACCAGCACCCCATCGTGCGGCGGCGCACGCACGCCGCAGGTGGCTACACTGCCCGAGGCGCTGCTGCTCTGGGCCGAGAGCGACCCCGCCGCATTTGACGATGAGCAGCAGAGCGGGGATGACTCGGCCGGCGTGGCGGGTTACCTGCCTGCGCAGCGGATTGCTGAGCTGCTGCGGCTCGCAGTCGAGAATGGCGACGTGCCGTACGAGGGCGACCTCTCCGAGGACGAGGTGGACTCCGCACTGAACGAGCTGTGGCAGCTGCAGCGCACCGGCTCGGCCCAAGGCGTGTCGCGGGTGGGGGATCGCCAGTCGCGATTGTGGCGTCTTTGCCCTGACGCTGCGCAGGCCGCAGCACGGCGAGAGCGGCGCAGCCAGGCGTCGGCAAAGGTCCAGAACGTGCTGCACGAGATGCTTGCTGCTGATACGGTGGCCGCTGCGCAGCATGTGGCCAAGGACATGCTCGATGCTGCTGGTAACGAGCTCGTCGCCAACGGGCTCCTGCCGTTGCTCGAGGCGCTCGCCGCCGCGTCCACCGCGGAGACCTCGCGCACGGCAGGCCTTGATGTCCAGATGATTGCCACCGCTGCCGACGACGTACTCGCCGACGTGCAGGCGGCGTCGGCGAGACTCGCGGCGGGGGGGGGACGCTCTGCTCTCGGTGCTTGCGTTCCGACCAAGCGCATTGCGACGCGCAACTCGCCCGCGCCGTCGCAGAAGAGACAGCGGCGCCGCGAGCAGTCCATGGAGGAGTGCGCCGCAGAGCGTCGCGAAGAGGAGAGGAGCAGCACGATGCTTGATGTTGTGGTGATTGTCCTCAACGAGGCTACACGCAAGCTGGTGAGCGGGCTGCCGACCGCGCAGGCGAGCGCCTGACCCTGACCCCGACCCTGACCCTAATTCCGACCCTTACCGTGACCGTGACCGACCCTGACCCTGACCCTGACCCTGACCCTGACCCTCACCCTGACCCTCACCCTCACCCTGACCGTAACCATGACGCAGGTGTATGATCGCCTTGCTAAGGAACGTGCTGGGCTCATGGCGTTCGTGTGCGCCGAGCTCACGCTGCTGCAGCGCTCTCAAGACGCCGCCCAGCGGCGGCTGCGCTCCTTCTCGGCGCCGAGCATCCGCAAGGGCATGCGCCGACTGCAGGAGGTTCACGTCAACGTTGTCGGTCCGATCGTGGATGGCCAGTCGCTGACGTTGGACGGTGACGCCTTCCTCAAGCAGTGCAGCCGCGCCGCGCCAGTCGTGGCCCGGCTTTGGCGCAGCATGGTCACGCCGGAAGATGGGAGGGGCGACGGCGGGTGGCGGAGGAAGGTGCTGCGTTCGATTTTCGCGCAGGCCTCGCTGTTCCGCATCGCGCGTGTGCGCGACCCGATCGCAAACAACCCCACCTCGCTGCTCTTCCACGGCGTGCTCGAGCAAGCCGGCGCGTCGCGGGGTATCGGCCGCGTCATTGCTGCTGCGGGGCTCGCGCCAGACTGGGCTCGTCTTGATGGCGCACATACGCGTGGGCAACGCGACGACGACGCGGCACGTGCCTATGGCCGCGCTTCGGTACACCGGCTTCCTCGCGCAGACGGTGCGCCGCTGGGGCTCCGAGGAGATTGTGCGCCGCGAGGATGCGCGGCGCCTTCGGCCGCCGCCGGAGGGGCATCGGCGGGGACGGAGTAGGCCGTCTGCTCGCGCCGTGTTGTGCCACGCACCACGACCGGGTCCGTCTCGATGCCGAGCGTGATACAGAGGGACTGCACTGTGACGGGAGAGGCGGTGGCGGTGAGCAGCATGTACGTGAGCTCCGGGAAGACGACCGTCAGCGCCCCTAGCAGCCGATAGTCGTGCCGAAACTCAAGGCCGTGCTCGTCCACACAGTGCGCCTCGTCGATGGCGACGCAGCGCCACCAGCCCTCCTCGTACGCGATGCGGAGCAGAGCGTGCAGGGCTCGACTGCGCACCAGCTTCTCTGGCGACACAAAGAGGACCGTGCTCATAGCGTCTCCGCCCGGCAGCGTCTCCTGCAGCCGCTCGAGGAGGTGATCCTCAGGCGAGCCACGGGGAAGGCTCGCCTGGCCGCTCAGCGAGCGGATCAGCTCCTCGCGGGAAGGCTCGGGGCCGTCCTCCGCGCCGGCAAAGAGGCTCTGCGACGCGCCGTCGAGGACGTGCGCGACCTTCCGGGGCAAACCGTCGCTGGCGAGGTAGGGTATGCGCGAATTGAGCTCGTCCGCCTGCTCCCACGCGAGAGCCACCAGCGGCATCACGACGAGGGTAAGCTTGGGCGGCGCAGGCTTTGGCGTGGGCGGCCGCATGAGCGCGGGAAGCTGATAGCACACGCTTTTCCCATCGCCTGCCTTCCGGAGCACGAAAGTATGTCGCCCGTCAAAGAGCGCGCATGCCGCGTCGAGCTGAAACGGGCGCAGTTCCTTGTCGCCCAGGAGGAGAGGGGCGACGCGCCGCGCAATCTCACGGCTCTCTCTGCGCGCATCATAGCGGCATGCCGCTACGGCCTGCGCCAGCTGCTGCTCGAGGTTCTGAATACGCACCTCGCGCGCCACCTGCTCTCGCGCAAGGTGGCGAAGCTCCTCGGCACATTGGCGGTGCCTCGCCACCTCGCCCGCCAGCTTCGTCTGCAGGAGCAGAAGCGCCCAGGTCCGGGCAGACGCCTGCCGGAGCAGCAGCGGTGAGGGTGAGCGCTGCGCTGCGGCGTGGCCCCTGGGTCGGCAGAGCCGCCATTGTCGGTGGGTGTGCTGCGTAGAGTACTAGCGATCATGTGAGTGCAGAGATGGTGGCTGGATGGAGTCGCTCTCGGCCCAGAGCAGCAGCGCCTCGGGCAGTGTAGCCACCTGCGGCGTGCGTGCGCCGCCGCACGATGGGGTGCTGGTTGCTCTGCCCGGCGCTGCATGGCGCCGAGCCGCCTCTCCGCTGGCGTGCAGGTCGGGCTGGGTCTGGTGGTGGGTTGTGAGCGGGTGAGGCGCGCCTGATCAGCCGCTGTCTCGTCGGCCATGCCTGCCAAGCTGCTCTCGACAGCGCGCAGAGGTCTCAGGGCTGCGCGCGGTCCGCACAGAGGTCTCAGACGGCCTCCGACCGGCCTGCGCAAGGGAGGGTGAGGTAGTTGATCAGAAAAGTGCGGCGGCGACGGTGCCGCAAGCGGTCGGGAGGCGTGTGGGCCGCGGGACACAAGGCACCGAAGAGGGGCTACTTTAGGTGAGATCCGCTGGGAGTGCCCAGGCACGACGGCAAGAAACCCAAGGGTGAAGCACGAACACTAGGCCCATCCGTTCTGTGTGGTGGCGGCGTGCCGTTCTCCCATCCCTCCCTTGGGTTGTGTGTTTTCTTTCTTTCTTTCTTTCCATCCGTTCGTGACGGCTAGCGCATCACACTCCTCTCCTTAAAATCCCTGTGTGGTGGCGGCGTGCCGTCCTCCCATCCCTCCCTTGGGTTGTCTGTTTTCTTTCTTTTTTTCCATCCGTTCGTGCCGTCCTCCCATCCATCCTAGTCCGTTTTCTTTATTTATTTCTTTACTAGGCCCATCCCTCCCTTGACGTCTGTGTTTTCTTTCTTTCTTTACACTAGGCACGGGACTGGCGCGCACTGACTGGCACTAACACAGGAATTTTAGAAACCCCCCTGAGTGCGCATTTTCTTTTTTCTTTCTTTGGGCACGGGACTCGCAAAAGAATCTGGACCCGCCTCTCTCACAGCACACACACGACAAGGGCGCGGACTGGCGCGCACTGCCACTGGCAAAAGAAAAACATACTTCTAGAAGCAGGGATAGCCGTTGAGGAGAAAGGGCGCAATATCTATCGCGGATACCCCGGTTCTGAAGCCTCTCGAGCTTGGTTGAGAGGTCGGCCGCCTGCATCGGCCATCGCAAAATAACCCCTCCGTCACGTATCAATCTCCAAACACACCCACACAATCTCCCGCGGGCCGAATCGGGTGACTCTAGCTCGTACAGGGTGTGGGCCAGAGTCTCCGTGAGTCCCGCCAGCGCAGCCGCCGTCGCAGCGGCCGCAGCCCCGTGCGCGCCGCGCCGCGCCGCGAGCGTCGGAGCGCCGCGGGGCTGCGGCCTGCCGCGCGCGGCGGCGTGGCCAGAAAGGGCCGACCGCCGGTGTGGCGTGCAGCAGGGTGGGAGAGAAGGGCAGGCACGTAGTCCTGGGCAGTGTGTGCCTCACCTAGGCAGGGCGCGTCGATTCACGGCGTGCTTTCACGGCTCTCTGGATGTTCTCGGACGCTCCATGGGCACTTGGAGCACTTAGAGTGCAGTCATTAACCTCACATCCAGGGCCGGGGAGCTAAGAAGCGCACCCACAGCGGGCCGGATGATCGGCATCGGGTTACGGGCTAGAGCGCCCTAGCCCGGGGGGGGGTGCGCGTTCGCAGGGAAAGGGCCGTAAACGGTAAACACAGGTCTCCGAGGGTTGGTTCTGCGCTTTGGGTGTCCCCTAGCTGCGGAACGCCCCCTCTACTCGGAGCTAGTAAACACCAGACACGAGCATGACGTCACTCTCACCCGACATCGCCACTTAGGGCTCCTCCGCCCGATCTCCCTACCCCCCATCCGAAGGGGCTCCCCTCTCCTCCCGGTCCTCCCTCCTGTTCGCTTTCTGATGGTCAGGCGTCGCCGTCGGCTGCGGAGCCCGCCTTCCCCTCTTATACTTCTTCGGCCGCGGCTTCGCCGCCGTCTCGCCTTCTCTGTCTGATCCCG